GAGGTGCCAGAGGTGGAAGAAGGACCAGAGCCGTTGGATTGTAAAAAATGGACTGAGAGCAAAGAAAAGGCACCTGACACATAGGCGCCCCCTTTTATACGTGATTATCATCTGCACACTGCATAATTAACTGTTTCACAGCATCCTATGGCAAGTATCTTGCTAGTTTTTTCTTGTTAATAATCGTATGATTCTGATTATCTATTTATTTGCCTTCAGTTAGTAATTCTGTTTTCATCGTGTGATTAAATTCTAGTCGTGTCATTTTTGCTTGCGTCATTCATTTGCATCTTTATTTCTTCTCCTTCTGCATGTGGGAGCTTGCCGTATGTTTAGATACATGGGGGAATTTGTTACTGGAGTTGTAGCAGTAGGGTGTATTTTTCCAAATCTGTGTGTCTGTTATGATGATACCCCATTAAACTGATTACCAGGCTGATCACCACTTGCCACTTACAAGATAACTTCAGTTTTTTTAGAATGTCAGGAAGCTTGTTACATACTAGTTAATCGACCTTTCTATGTGAGGAGCCGAAGATGCTCTTGAAGCCGATCAATTTAGACTTCTGCCACCTGCTCCATAATTTAGAGAACAAAACATTTGAAGTTAGATTTGCTTTTAAAAATATTATTCTGTTATTTGAAACTCATTAATCATGGTATGCATCTATTGTTACTTTTTAGGAAGATGAAGCTGAGATGGATATTGATGCAGCAGCTCCAGCAACTCAGATTTCTATCAAGCATGGCCTTCCTGAGATTGAAATATATTGTTCTTTGCTTGTTCTGATTTTCCTCATTGATCAGAAGAAATACGACGAGGTATGTCTTATATAGTGATATATTTTGTGCAGCATATGCAACATATTATTAAGTTAAAGTTCTCCAATTGTCTCTAGGCTAAAGCATGCGCAACTGGAAGCATTGCTCGTCTGAAGAACTTGAACAGGAGAACTGTTGATGTTTTGGCTTCTAGACTATACTTTTATTATTCATATGTGTATGAACTTACAAATACCCTTGCTGAAATTCGTGGGTATGTCAACTTCTACATCTTCCCCTACTCTAGTATTTCCTTAGATTCCATTTACCCTGTTTTGTAATTCATCGCTCATATTTGCTTCTTTGTACAGTAATCTCCTTGGGTTACATAGAATGGCAACTTTACATCACGATGAGCTTGGTCAGGTAGTTCTGTTTTCCTGGTTCTTGCTGATTAAGTGTTATGCTGTCAAATTGTGCTAATGTATGGAAATGCATTGTTTTTTCATGATAACAGGAAACCCTGCTCAACCTGCTTCTCCGCAATTACCTCCACTATAACTTGTATGACCAGGCAGAGAAACTTAGGTCGAAGGCACCACGTTTTGAAGCCCATTCCAACCAGCAAGTAATTCATCTGCCTCTTCCAATCATTATCTGCACTTTAGTAATTGTATTATGTTTCAGATGCATTACACCAGTACATTTAAATTTTATGAAACTAGTTTATTTGTTAGCTATTCTTTTAAAAATGCTTTGGGGTGATTGATGTGTGAGATCTTCCTGCAGTCTAACTGATTTTATTGATACACTCAAGCAACTGTTAACATTTTTTAATACAGTTCTGCCGGTACCTCTTCTACTTGGGGAAAATCAGAACAATTCAGTTGGAGTACACTGATGCTAAAGAAAGCCTCCTGCAAGCTGCTAGGAAGGCACCGGCTGCAGCTCGTGGTTTTAGGATTCAGTGCAATAAATGGGCTATCATAGTAAGGCTGCTTCTTGGGGAGATCCCAGAGAGGACTGTTTTCATGCAGAAAGGAATGAAGGAAGCTTTGGCACCATATTTTGAGCTTACAAATGTAAGTTCCAGTCTTCTTTTAAATCTCATGTTACTGTCTGGAAAGCTCTAGTCATAACATTTGAATTATTGGTGTCTAGGCCGTCAGGATTGGCGATTTGGAACTGTTTAGAGCTGTTGCAGACAAATTTGCAAGCACATTCAGTGCAGACAGGACTCACAATTTGATCGTGAGGCTCCGCCACAACGTCATTCGAACTGGACTACGCAACATCAGCATTTCATACTCGCGGATCTCCCTTGCTGATATTGCGAAGAAGCTAAGGCTAGACAGTGAGAATCCTGTTGCTGATGCGGAGTGCATCGTAGCCAAGGCCATAAGAGATGGTGCAATTGATGCCACCATAGACCATGCAAATGGCTGGATGGTGTCGAAAGAAACTGGTGATGTCTACTCGACAAATGAACCCCAGGCTGCATTCAACTCCAGAATCGCTTTCTGCCTCAACATGCATAATGAAGCGGTCAAGGCCATGAGGTTCCCCCCGAATTCTCATAAGGAAAAGGAGAGCGCTGAGAAGCGCCGAGAAAGGCTCCAGCAGGAGGAAGAGCTGGCAAAGCACATGGCCGAGGAGGATGACGATGATTTTTAAGTTGGTCTGTTTTTTTTGAATTGTTGATTTTAGATCCCTGAAATCACTGAATTCTCCCCTTGAGGGAGATTTGAATCATGTAAACTTTTTACATCTTCTGTAGTTCTATGTTGATCAGCACTTCATTGGACCGTAAATGTGTTTTGAGTTTATCTTTTCTCTTGTCGAAACTGGGTTTGAGGATCTCTGTACCATTTGAAATCCACCTTGTCCATTCAAGACTTTTGGTATGTCTGTGCTTCCTGACATATATTTGCCATCTACTATTTTTTTTCCTGTTTAATTGCGATTATGCAGTGGTCGAGTTACCACCTTTCTCCTGTAATTGGTGGCAAATCTAACATCGTGGAATAATTGGTGCCACTCAATAAAGTATTGTGCAAATGACACTAGTTTCCTGATGTGTAAGCTGATGTAAATCCTTCTGAAGGTCAAAGAATTTCACACATTTAGCACTAAAAACTCTAGGCAACTCAAATATAGAAGAAAGTATCATCAAGTTACTTCCATGCAGTAGTATACTATGTTACACAAGCTGAATCTACAGCTCTGGAATTATTATGAAAAATATCCATCTTTTTAACTAAGCATAACACCATTAGCAATACAAGTTTACAGTGAGAGTCTAGCCTCCTTAGTGAGGCAAACAGAGTATGTATGAGCCAGCCTAGCTAGCAGCAGTAGCAGCAACTTAGAAGAAGGCTCTGCTTCCATAGAAGACCCTGGGACCCTTGGACGACGGCGATGGCGACGGTTTCTCAGTTGTGCTCGAGTCGATGTTATCAACCGAGGGGCTACCGTTCTCGACATCCAGCGGGAGCTTCATCTTCGCAAGGGAGTCAGTGAACTGCTGCATGCTCTTCATGTACATGTCAACTATGTCCTGCTGGACAACTGATTCCCTGGGCTGGAGGTTCACGGTGATCACTGCAGGCTGGGCAACCTCATCCTTGGATGGCGCCTCAGAAGAATCGGCCTCGCCATCGGTAGTAACACCCTGGCTCTTCTCCCTCTGGCTTCCGGTGGAGGATGCCGCCGCGACGGCGGTCTCGGACGGCTCAGAGACCGATTGCGTCATGGGGGACAGCTCCGGGGAGGAGCCTGTGGTCGAGACACAGCTCACAGGGCTTTCGTCAGGATACTCCTTGGGAGTGATCTTAGAGACCTCAGGACCAGGCTCATCTGCATCATGCTGTGGTAACTTGCAGGTCTCAGCCTTTGCTGCACTGTCACAGTCCATCTCGAAATACTTGGAGACCATCATTTCATTCTCGTTCACCATGTTCAGGTCTGGGAACTCCATCTTTTCGATCTCACAAGGATCCAGGCTGCCATTTCCACAGTCGGTGACCGCCGACGCCGATTTATTGAGCGATGAGATCTCGATGACGTCCGGAGAGCTACCGACATAAGACAGGGACAGGCGCACAAAACCGGCCGGCGAGTGGAGCAGGTCGGAGGACGACATGGAGAACTCCTGGGCCAGATTTCCATCGGCCAGAAGGATGTCTGACAGAGGAACGAGGGTGAAGCCGAGAAGCTGGTCCTCCAGGTAGTTCCTCACCCTGCTCAGCATCCACACCTCGCACCTCAGCGATGCCTCCACGCTGCGCACGTCTAGCCGTAGACCCTCGTCGAACAACGGGTTCTGGCCACCCCCATTGATCACCTTGGTCGAGCACGACACCTGTGGGTCGCTTGTGAGGCTCAGCTTTGCATAAACGTCCTGCTTTTGGTAGATGCAAACATTGTGGATGTCGCGCGCCTGGTGGACAAAGATGTCCAGGTAGCCTATGGACTTGTCTCTGCCGGCTGTCTCTGTAGCAGAGTTGTCGAATCTTTGAGTAATAGCATAGTTGTTCAGCACCGGTGGATCAGGCATAGGGTATGTTGCTGCCATTGTAGGTATTCCAAGACTGCAATTAACACACACAAGGAGATATTTTCTTCAGTGCTGAAGTATAAGACAAAATATTGTCTGAACCAAGACAGCAAATTGCAGCTGAAGCTAAGCAGAATGGAGACGAGACAGTGACAGTAATAATTAGCTAAAACAATTGGACTTTAAATAAGGAGGAGTCTTTATCCTATGGTGGTAAACATATTTAATCATGTAGAATTGCAAGGCAAGCTACTTCAAATTCAGACCAAAAGGATTAATACAAGATAGAAATGAACCCTGACTAAAGGAGGCTGAAGGTCAAGGAATTCAGACTCACTATCTGAAGAGTTTTTGGCTCAAAGATATCTCCAACAGACGAAATCGGAAGCTTCGGTGGCCCGAGGAAACCGTTGGGATTTTCTCTGAAAGCAAGAAGAGCACTCAAAAAGGTTAGGAACACAAATTCAGACTTGAAACAAAGTTCAGTCCGCGGTTTGAAATCGTTCACCTGTCTATTATAAGCACAGCAAGCACAAATTTGGTGCTTCACCACAGCGTGTAAACGGAGATTGCGCAGCACATACCGCAAATATCACACGAAAAGCGGCACCAAGAACAGCAGTGGTGCACAGATTAAGCATCACATGCCACAAATGTTGAGATTCAGGCGCATACAGACACAGCAATGCCACAAGCAATTTCGGCAAAGGAACAGCCGGCATCTTATTATAGCTCTAGTAACCCTAAACAGCACCAATAACCCCAGCCCTTTGAAAGAAGCCCTACCGCCCAAACAAGTACGAGGTGATCAGTGCCCAAATCAAGAACAGACCTAACTAACACAAGGCGCGGAGGTTTGGCAGGCTGACCTCGGACCAGAGCGCTGGTGCCCTACTACTACTACTACTACTACTACTACTAGTAGTAGTAGTACTAAAGAAGCATCATGAGCTAACAGGGAGTGGAGATCAACGGTTTTAGACCGGAAATTGCAGGTAGGGGTGCTGTTAATTACCTCCTTCGCCGAGGATTGGTGCGGCGATCTGAGCTGAGCGCTGAGGCGAGTCGCGCTCGAGGCGCAGGAGTGTGAACTGGGCGGCCGGGCGAGGGATGGGATCAGGGGAGGGGAAAGGTAAATTAGCAGGAAAAAGGGCGCCACTTTTGCAGAAAAGGGGTCTTGTTTACCGGAAAATACATTTGTTAGGCATTTGTTGGAACAAGTTTTTTTTGTTTCGGCCAATGTGGCTGGGATTTGTTGGCACTTTGGTCTTTGGACAGGGTCGGGAATGAACTGATTTAGACAGGAGGTACTTGCAGGCTCAATCAGTCACAAGGGGGACCAAGTTCGTGTCGTTCCAATCATTGTGAACACGCCAGACCGACAGTTCACTCAATTTCAATGAAAGCATATGTGAGCAATGTCAAATAGTTTATCGTGTGTCATATGTATATTGATAAAGTCAAAGAAGTGCTAGAAAATACCGGGCTGTAATAAACAAATAAACCCCCCGGAAATGTTCTAGAAAATGATGGCAACTAGCCACCTCAAAGGTACAGTAGTTAAGATGAAGTTTATAAACATGGGCTACCTCGGGCAAGGGTGAAACCCACGCATCAAGCAAAGTTGAATCGCTTGATCTGTTGATGCGAACGCCATACCGAGCCATGTCGAGCACTCCAAACCTCTGCATCGGGCGAGAGAAATCTGATCTTTGGAGCGTGTCGCCGGGAACCTCCAATATGGAGGCTAAAACCCATCGACATTTCGTCCCGTAGAGATGGTTAGAACATGGGGTCGCCCCGTCGAAAGAAAAGTAAACGATGTGCACGCAACCACGACGTCTTCAAATCGCCTCCATACAGGACCAGGAAGACGTGTCACTGCTGCCACCGAAAACGAGAACCAAGAAAATTCGTCATCGCTGCTGCGCTAGGAACGGAAAGCAACCATCTGCCGATGCAACAAACATGAGTGTTTGCCGCCCTGACTTATGCACAGGCGCGCTGCGAATCCTTGTGTCAAGTGCCAAGTCTCATATACAGCTAAGCCAGAGAAGCCGCTCTTCGTGAGATCAAAGTGCGCATTAAGAATACCAAGCATTGGAACAAGGCCCAAGTTTCACAACAGAAGTAACCCACTCCGGCGGGAAAGAGCCACCAAGCCAACCCCTGGCAAGCTTTTCGGGCATGGGTTTCCTGGCAACACCAGCGCTCCGCCTCTCTCACCAGCTGGCCGCTGATTAGTGAGGTGTCGAGCCCGCAGGTGCTTAGGTGGACGTAACCCCGTGTGTGTCAGCTTGCTGGAGGGGTAAGTCACCTTTATTGATACCCGCCTTGATGGCGTGTCACGCTAATAGGAGGTAGCTGGATAAGTGACACAGCAACCTTGCCGGGTTTCAGCCTCCACATGACACCTAGCAACGCATTTAATGTG